AGCTGTCAGTTTAATCTGACAGTGGGTGGATATCAGCATATTCCACCATGTTGCCACAGAGTCGAAAGCCCATACTCTGTGGAACAAAATTGAACAGATGTACCAGAGGAAGACTGCACAGAATAAAGCTTTCGTCATTAGAAAGCTTGTGAATTTAAAATATCGGGATGGAAGATCAGTTGCAGAACACTTGAATGAGTTTCAAGACATGGTGAATCAACTTGTTACCATGGACATGAAACTTGATGAAGAATGCAGGCGCTGTTACTTTTGAGTTCTTTACCGGATAGCTGGGAGACTCTGGTGGTCTCGTTGAGCAAGTCTGCCCCTGAGGGAAAACTGATTTTGACTCAAGTCAAAGACAGTATGTTTAATGAAGAAACAAGAAGAAAAGACTCTGGGGCAAGCAGTTCCCAAGCCCTGGTCACAGAAACCAGGGGGAGAAGTAAAAGCAGAGGCCGGGATAACAAATCCAGAGATAAATCACAATCTCAACCCAGGAGAAAATTCAAGTGTTATCACTGCGGTGAAGAAGGGCATATCAAAAGAAACTGCAAAGCCTGGAAGAATAGAGGTTGGAGGAACAACAGATCAGAGAACGGTGAAAATACCGCAACCCCTGTGATCAATGGGGAAGTGGTGTTGCTCTCTGTTGAAGAAGAAGAATGTCACGTTGCAGATTCATGTGTTGAATGGGTCATTGACTCAGCAGCATCATACCATGCAACCTCTCACAAAGAATTCTTTTCTCTATACAAAGAAGGAGACTTTGGTAGAGTAAAGATGCGCAACAGCAGCATTGCAAATATTGTGGGAGTTGGTGATGTGTGCATTCAAACTGATATTGGGTGCACAATAACACTGAAGGACGTACGACATATACCAGACTTACGTCTGAATCTGATCTCTGTGCATGCATTGGATCTAGCAGGCTATACTAACAATTTTGGTAACGGCACGTGGAGGCTTACCAAAGGATTGTTGTTAGCTGCTAGAGGTACAGTGAGATCGACACTATACAGAACTCAAGTGAAGCTGATCAAGGGTGGATTGAATGCAGTCGAAGATGATGCTTCGCCAAATTTGTGGCACAAAAGACTGGCTCACATTGGTGAAAAAGGATTACAAATTTTGGCAAGAAAGTCCCTCATCCCATTTGCCAAAGATTCAAAATTGAATCCTTGTGATTATTGTCTCTTTGGGAAGCATCATAGAGTGTCTTTCAGCAAAACCTCGAAGCTGAAAGAGAATGTGTTGGAGATGGTGTATTCTGATGTATGTGGACCCATGGAAGTGGAGAGTCTCGGTGGTAGCAGATATTTCGTGACATTTATTGATGAAGCTTCACGAAAATTGTGGGTATACTTCTTGAGAACGAATGGTGAAGTTTTTCAATACTTCAAAAGGTTTCATGCTATGGTGGAGAGACAGGCTGGTAAACCTTTGAAGTGTCTTCGCTCAGATAATGGGGGCGAGTATACTTCCCATGAATTAAAGAATTATTGTGCCGAGCATGGCATCAGGCATGAGAAGACTGTACCTAGAACTCCACAACATAATGGTGTGGCTGAAAGAATCAACAGAACCATTATGGAGAAAGTAAGGTGTATGTTAAGAATGGCTAAGCTACCTAAGCCATTCTGGGGAGAAGCTGTTCTAACGGCGTGCTACCTGATCAACCGATCTCCATCTGTTTCTTTGGGCTTTAATATCCCTGAGAGAGTATGGTCCGGACATAATGTTAAATACTCTCATCTAAATGTGTTTGGATGCAAAGCTTTTGCTCACGTAAGCAAGGAACAGAGAAGAAAACTTGATGATAAAGCCATTCCTTGTATATTTTTGGGCTATGGAGATGAGAAATTTGGCTACAGGTTATGGGATCCAGAAAATCGAAAAATTATCAGAAGCAGAGATGTAGTGTTCTATGAGCAAGAAACTATGTCTGATTCTGCTTCACCAGAAATCAGAGAACCAAGTGGAAAGGTGGATCTTTCACCTGTCAAACCTCCTGGAGATGCCACAGCAGGGGGAGAGTGTGATGGAGAACTCAGGGTTGATGATGAGCCAGCAATAGAAGATGGTGATGATGAAGGTGTTGAGCAGGAAGACCTCGAAGCTCCACTTCAGCTCAGGAGATCAAATCGAGCGATTCAACCATTACGAGATACCCTAGTTCCACGTATATTACCATCACTGAAGAAGGGGAGCCAGAAAGCTTTGAAGAAGTACAAACTCATAAGGATAAATCCCAGTGGATGAAAGCCATGCAAGAAGAAATGGATTCACTAGTGAAAAACGAAACTTATGAGCTTGTTAAGCTTCCGGAAGGCAGAAAAGCCTTGAAAAACAAATGGGTGTTCAAGCTTAAGAAAGATGGTGACAAGCTGTTGAAGTACAAGGCTTGCTTAGTCGTGAAAGGATTTGGACAAAAGCGAGGAATAAACTTTGATGAGATATTCTCTCTGGTTGTGAAGATGAGCTCTATTCGAGTAGTACTCGGATTGGTGGCTAGCTTGGATCTGGAGCTTGAACAACTAGATGTGAAGACTGTGTTTCTTCATGGAGACCTAGATGAAGAAATCTACATGGAGCAACCAGAAGGATTTGAGAAGACTGGAAAGGAGCACATGGTTTGCAGATTGAAGAAGAGCTTGTATGGACTGAAGCAAGCTCCTAGACAATGGTATAAAAAGTTTGACTCGTTCATGGCGAGCCATGGATATACCAAGACTGATGCAGATCATTGTGTGTTCGTTAAGAAATTTCCAGGTGATAAACTTATTATCCTTTTGTTATATGTAGATGATATGCTGATAGTGGGACAAGATATGAAGTTGATTGGTGATCTGAAGAAGGAATTAGCAAAGTCCTTTGAGATGAAGGACTTGGGCCCTGCGAAAAAAATTTTGGGCATGCGGATCATGCGAGACCGAAAATCCAAGAGGTTATGGTTATCGCAAGAACGGTATGTGAATCGGATTCTGGAGAGATTCAACATGAAATCGGCTAAGCCGGTCAATACACCGTTAGCCAATCACTTCAAACTCAGCAAACAAAGTTGTCCTACGAGTCGAAGAAAAAGAAGCTATGGCGGGTGTTCCATACTCCTCGGCAGTCGGGAGTTTGATGTATGCCATGGTCTGTACCAGACCGGATATTGCTCACGCGGTTGGAGTAGTTAGCAGGTATCTTTCCAATCCTGGGAAGGATCATTGGGAAGCTGTGAAGTGGATCTTGAGGTACCTAAAAGCAGTGCAAATAAGTCCTTGAGCTTCGGAAAAGGAAATCTAGTTCTTGAAGGTTATACAGATGCGGATATGGCAGGTGACCTGGATAGTAGAAAATCTACTTCAGGGTTTGTGTTTACATTTGCAGGAGGAGCTGTATCTTGGCAATCTAAATTGCGGAAATCTGTTGCCTTGTCAACTACTGAAGCAGAGTATATTGCTATGACAGAAGCAGGCAAAGAAATGCTTTGGTTGAAGAGGTTTCTTCAACAATTGGGAATGAAGAAGGAAAGGTACGATATCCATTGTGATAGTCAGAGCGCATTGGATTTGAGTAAAAATGCGATGTACCACTCTCGCACGAAGCACATTGATGTCAGATATCATTGGCTACGTCAAGTAGTGGATGAACAACAGTTCAAGTTGGAAAAGATTCACACTGACGAGAATCCTGCTGACATGATGACGAAAGTTGTAACAGGAGGAAAGCTTCAGCTTTGTGCCGAGTTGATCGGCATGGATTGCATGTGAAGAATTGCAGTGTATTACTCTTTGGCTGGAGGGGGAGAATTGTGGGATCCAGCCCAAGAAAATAAACAAACAAAATTCAATGGTAGGTTTAAAATTATTGAAAGAAGATAAAATATAATATTTGGTGGCAGGTTTGCCTACCATAATTTAATAAAAGGGACAGCAGTGTAGGCGGCCAAATTCGATGAATTTCATTGCACTTCCCCTCTATAAATAGAGGGGGTATTCAGCAGTGAAGAGATGCACCAAGCAGAAGAAAGAAAAAAAGAGAAGAAATAACATCTTTGAGTGTTATTGTTCAGTGAGATAAAAATAGAGTGTTTGAGTAAATCCTGTGAGTGTGGGAAAAATACACCGGGTTGGGTATCAACTCTATTACTCCTTGTTTAGGAGTGGGGTTCTCACTGGGTCACTATATTTTACATTTCTAGTGTAAGGAAGTGTGAAAAGATATTGTAATTATCTTGAAAATATAGTGGAATTGTTCGGAGGTTGTCCCATGGTTTTTTCCTCTATTTGGAGGTTTTTCCACGTTAAATCTTGGTATCTTATTTCTTGCATATTTTATTTATTTGGGATATTCTTAGTATGCTCTGTGGTCGCAGTTTAATCTGAACTTCCATATCAGAAAAGAATTATTCCGGTATTATTGCAAAAGATTTTCTTTTGTCATTTTTGAGTTGCTGGGATTGGGATTATTGTTTATCATTTTATCTTAATATTTTAATTTACATCTTACGCATTTGTGCATCTGAGCCCAACACATTGCACGCGAGTGAGTTTAATATCACTGTTTTTTTTTTTTTTGTATGTAATCTTAGTCACTGATGGTATTATTCATGCGGCAAGAACTCTTCAATAGGTGCTTTTGTGTTGTTTTTGTTCTGAGGTTTCGTGTTCGGATAATTTAGAATTGTGGGTTTCACAAATGCAAGAAGCAGTATTTGAGAGACAACCTATGTCTGAAAGATTACTTGTTTGAAGTAATATTTAAGATTTTCGATTTTACGGGAGTATTCCTTTGGTTATGAATGCCAAGAATTGAAAAGTTTTTGTTTTTAATGGGTGTGCAGGAAATGGTGCTACTTAAGAACACTGTAGGGCTGCAATTCAAGATGAACAAGAATTCTAATGTAATTCTTTTTTTTTTCGGGTGTGCCTTTGTGTTAGAGAAATAATCAGCAAAGCTGTACGGTATCATCCAGTTTTGGGCATTTTTGCTTCTCTCAACAAAAACTTATGAACCCAACGATAATGGTACGTTTTTGCCTTAAAACGATAGTTGATAGTAAACTTTAGTAATGAATATTCTTATACTTAATTTCAAACCTGTGTATGATATGGAACAGAGAGGTTTTGGTAGAAAGAAAGCCGAGTAAATGTTTTCAAAATTGGAGAACTGCTGAGGTTTGGCAAGGGGGATGAGGAGGACGATGAGGATGAAGAAAAATCAAGTGGGAGTGTTGGTAAGGATGGAAAGGAGAATCCTTTTGTTATGAATGAGAATGAAAGGAAGGAGTGGAGAAAAAAGATTAGAGAGGTGGTGAGTCGAATTCCAGATGATGTTGGAGAAGAGACTGATCTTGTCGAGAAGCGGAAGAAAATGCAAAAGCTTCTAGCCGAATATCCGCCAGTGGTTGATGAGGAGGATCCTGACTGGCCGGAGAATGAGACAGTGTGGCGGGATGATGACTATATTCGTCCAATCAAAGACTAGCCACTAGAGAATGGGAGGAGGCTGTGTTTAAGGACTTCAACCCTTTAGTGGTTCTTGTTCATAACCGGTTACAAAAGGTACTTCTGGTTTTTTTGTTTCTTTGTATATATATATTCTTTATTTTCATGCTTGTTTGTATCTTGTTTTAAGTCGGTATATGTTGTTGCTTGGAAATATCATCTCATATATACCAACAATATATCATTACATTTCTTTATACATCGTCACATATCACTTTATACATTTTTTTATTTACTTGATGCAGTTTGGTGCTTTACAAATATAAGAGAGAACTCTCCCCCGAACCTGAAGCTCGACAACCGGATCATATATTCACGGGAAGTGTTGGCATGATATATTTGACGCGATACGGCACGCACGTCGGTTGATTTATATCACGGGGTGGTCTGTGTGGCATAAAGTTAGGCCTGGTGGTGTTGACGTGTCAATGTACAACACAAATGAGGTTTGTTTCGCCCATCTATGTTTTTGCTTCTTCTTTGTTCATTTTTATTTCTTGCATGAAGCTTATTATTCTTGGTGATGGAATTGGGTTGTGATGCATCATTGGAACAGTACCTTTGTGCGTTTGTTGAGGCTTCAATGAACACGACATACCAGAAAAAGAGGTTGTTGTATCTTATCACAAAAATGACACGCGTACTTATAATAAGAAAATGAACATTAGTTATTGACTAAATGAATGGCCTTTTATGAAATACCTGTGTAGTGAAAGCTGAGCTGGTGGATCATAACTAGCTCCTAAGTGTATTGGCTTTTGTGTATCCGTAATCTGTTTTGATTTGGAACCTTTTATCTTTAATGGGCTAAGATTAATCCTCGGGATGGAATTTGAATGTTTTGAATCTTTTGGTTGTGTAGAAAGAGCTGGTAGTCACATGGGGCGTTGATTTGTATGGTGAATTGCTTAAAACTGTGGGAGGAAAAGAAAGATGCATATATTCACGATACGGTGTTTTGTATGATTATTCAATTTCTCGGGTTCATAAGCAAACTCGACACCATTTTCCAGAAACTTAGTTTCGTTTTTTTGGTGGGACTTCAGGATGACGGCCTACTATAACAAGGTGGTTGGCCGGAAAAGGCACGAGTAGATGACCAAGAAAGAAAAAAACTCATAGCATCCCTGCACAAGCGAAAGACGGGACATTTCGTGGTACTTATCGAGAAAAATATGTTGCCTCTTCGAGCCGGTGTGGCCAAGTAAGCTGCTATTTTGTTCTTTGGTTAAACAAAACCATCGTACCTAGAGTTTAACACACTTGGACCTAATCTTACATCCATATATTCTATGTATTCATATGTGATTATTTGGTCTCAAACATTTTGTACTTGGCCATCTTTTTTTCCTGAAGGAAAGTAAAGGTAAACTAATAGCATATACTTGACTAATCAACAGGCTAATAGATCAAGCTCTAGGCAATGGGGTCCAAGTTGTTGTGTGCATCACGTCAAATGAGAATGCGGTATGCATATCAGGTTCTAAGTTTTATGTTGTGTCTTTATGCAGCTTTGACCAAAGAATTAATTTGATATAATTTGTAGTCAAGCCATCTAATCTGTTCTCTTTGGAATTTATATGAAAATAGATATGTGTTTTTATTTGTTACTATTATCTAAAATAGCTCGATTAAAACTTTCTGGAATTTGTGAATTCGAGTAGTTGATTTTGCAAACATACCTTCATGCACTTTATTATGTGCTACTTAGTTTGAAAAAAGCTTTTTTCGGTGAGCTTTCAGGTCTCGGCTGTTGTTTCTTTCTTATCATGGCTTGAACGAGCAGAAAAGATACAGAAATTTGCTGGTGATGTGGTTCCCTAAAAGAAGCCTGATCCAGTAAGCTCCCCATCCCTTTTACATGATAAATGATGCACAAGATCATTTGAAAATGGAAAGTGATAGCTAGCTTGGGGCTTAAACAATGTAATTTTATAGCGTTATAAAGTTTTGTGAGATTTACGGTAATCATAATCTCCTAAGGTTGCTTTCAGACCTCTCATTTCACTTCTGGTTTTATTATTTTTACAAACAAGCAAACACTTATACAACTTAAACACCCGTCTCTTTTAATTAACTCAGCTCACGTTATGTGTTCTTGAATGTTTATTTGGATTCATTAACCTATGATTTTCATTTCAGGCTATTTATCTGTTAGCTGCAGAAAACTTGAGTCGATCCATCAAGGTAGCTAGCAGACTTATAATAAGTATGATGGCAAGTAAGCATGTAAAGTATTCTCACTATAAATAACAATTCGTTTTCAATTTTATGGTTTCTTGCACTTAAAGTTGCAGAAAGCCTTTGAAGGTTAGTTTGTTCTAGAGCAGGTGAAATATTTGATAATTATTCACTACCGTATGTGTAGGTTCAAGGATATATTCCAAGAAGTTTATGAATCAAACTAGAAATTGAAGTTGAGGAAGCAAGAATCTGGCATTTCCACCGACTTGAGGAAGCAAGAATCTGGCATTTCCACCGACATTACGAAAAAGCAGCATTTTAGTAATTTGTAAAAAAACAAATTAAGTTGCTTCGAACTCTCTCCTAAGACTTTTCAAATGTTATAATCTTTTACGAGACAATATTTTACAATTTTTATTTGAAAAGTTGTATGGATTTTTTCGTTTCAAATTACAAGCAGTCACCTTCCTACCCGTTATTATTGACGACTTTCTTATACTATAACATAGGGCCCTGTAACATACCTCTATTTGTCAATTACAATTAAGTATAAGTTAGTTTAGATATTTGCATTCTATATGAGTTCATATGGATTCTGCGATTTGCGAGGATGTACCCATTCTCCCGAAGTTATGGGATGATTTGAATTTTATATTGTTCATGCTTCAGTTTATTAATAATATTTGGGCTTGACTTCTTATGCAAACTTTGATTTTTTTTTTTTTTTTTTTGGAGTATACAATTGCCCTTTAACTTGAAATTTAGGTTTTTTAAGTGAATTGTTCTTCTGCTAGGTTGCTACTCATAATGTCACGACATTGTTATGATTGTTCAGATGATAATGTATTAATGTGATGTAGTTTTTAAGTAGTTTGATGTTTCTTCATATAATCATATGCAGTTTCATAAGGTGAAACAAGGTCTGACATTTAGCTCTTGTGCTAGGTTTTCATGATTCGCATTTGATTTTGTTTATTATATTATACAATATCGGTAATTTATGAAATTTCGGATTGTTTAACTTTTTAATTTTTGAGCTTAACTTATGCCTTCACGAGTGCATGAGCATATTCAAACTGAGCTTTTAGCTTTTAACTTCTTTAGTCTGTTAGAGGCCTAATATTATTTGTCCTTACAGTTTTCTTGGAGAGAGGACTTCGGCGTACCAGGCCTGTATTAGTCTTCAGAGCATATGGTTTGGAGTTAGGTCCACGAAAGGACAAAGGACGGTGGAGTTAGAAGCTGAACCTGACATCTTCACCCACTTCTCCATGATATCCCAGTCTTAGGTGATGATGGTGATGGTTGTCACCGGGTCCTTCATGATCTGGAGCAAGATCGGGCACAAAAAGTACTCGGGTACTTCGACTTATATTATTTTCTGTTTTTCGATTATTTTGGGTCACAAAAACTTAACAAGATGCTTGAGATTATTTATGCAAAGGTATAATTAACATCTACAATATTTAAAATCTAAAATTTTCATAACAAGGATAGTGAGCAGTCCAAAAATTAAAACCAGGGTAAAGGATTTGTTTATGGTTTTAGATAATCCAATTTTACCGTTTAAATTATTCAACTTTTAGCTTATATTTGTAAATACATGTTTTTAGACATTTTGCTCAGTAAAAGCTTATATGAATTTAATCTACTACTTTGAAATTTTTCTGATCACCAAAAATTATGAAGGCGTAATTACCGGAACTAATAATTGCCCCATGCATCGGTTTTTCTATTTTATCTATTAGCATCAAAGTTATTGTAACACATGAGTTAGTGACTCTTCCAATTTGATATTGAATTTTTGTTTTGTTAGATGGATCGAAATAGAGAACACAAATGCTCGAACAAAATGGCTATTTCATATTTGGATAGGAAGACGATTTTTGATGATGAGTTTATATGTATGTTTGTATTTGCAAGGTACTACTAACTAATATCCTACCTTTTTTAACTGTTGATGATGGGATTTGACTTAGGAAACAAGGCATACAAAATTAGGACTAATAAAGCCTTAATTTATTTTGGTGTTTGAGTATTATTCTTGGATATGTATTATTCTTGGATATGTTTATGTTGGAAAAAAAGAACTATCTACAAAATGAGATACATAACACAAAGGTAAAAAAATAACACCATCATTAGAACGATGTAGAAATAGTCGTGAAAAATAATAGCACCATTGCAACAATATAGAAAAAGTCATATTGGTAAAAAATAACACCACTATTACAACAATATGGGAATAGTCATATCAAACGTCAATATCCTCAAAGCGAAGGATATGAAAGTCTACCCGTTTTTGCACAATTGTATAATACAAAAGTAAATACATACACAACAGTAAAAAAATGTTGCCCTTCGAACCATACATTACTTTTCTGCATTGAAAATTATTAATTCATTTGGAAAAGTGACCATCCATTATAAAAAGAGAAAATTACTCCACGCACTAACTAGTTCATAAAATATTACACATCTACTATAAAAATATTTTATTTGCAAAAGGGCATTTGCTAGCCAAAATATTTGTAAAGATACGATTTATACCCAACATTATTTCTTTTCACCTTTTTCTTCCCACCTACCACAATTAATTCTCTCCATCTTCTCTTCTTCTCATCTTTTTTCTTTCCCCATAATCATGAGTCTATTTCTTCTAAAAAATTTCCCTATTTTCTAATTTCTCATTCTTCGTCTCTAATTTATCCCTCAAGAAGACAACAATTGGTGGACGTTGTTTGTGACCGGTGGAGAGCAGCGAGTGGCTGCAACTCCGGGCATCAGACATGGCGG